CAAATAAAAATTGTATAAATCATACTTTATTCCACATAATATTCACTAATAATAAACGGTAGATTTTCCCGCACATAAGGCAATTGCGAAAATTAATTATTAATATGTAATATGTAATTCCTGTACGAAATTGTAAATCCCTTAATTTTGTTCAATAAATTCTATTTTTAATCTTCTCAAACTAAATGCACTTGCATATTTTTTGATGTGTTCGATATCCTTAAACATAGGTGCTGAGTCGGATAGCAGTTTATTAGTTCGTAAAGATTTTAATTATACAAGTAGGTACTATTAAAAATATACTGGCTAAAAGAGAGATGTACATGAAATAGGATAAATAAGTTGAAGGTTTCAGGCAGCTGTTTAATGAATTCTAGACATTCTCGTGATATTTTGACTGAAATAGTAAATAGAAATAGTTGTGGAACCATGCTTCTTTTACACTGCTGCGTCCGAATATGCTGTAATCTGATCTAATACGGACTTTCTGGTTTCTTCCTTTGGAAAGTCAAGTAACCAGATGAGAGGTACTATCAAGTAGTTTAAATAAATAAATTTACGAAAATCTACAAAACTTTCACATTTGCCAGTCAATATTATTTATTTAATAGTAAGTTTATTAATTGCTGGACGGGGTTTTCAATTATTATTATGATTATTATAATGTTAATTTTATTAATATATTTTTCCTTATATTTGTTTTCGGTTATAATAGGCAAAGAATCTAAGCTTGATCGAATGGTAAATCAATACTGGCTCCTGTTCAAGATGTTATTTTAAACAAAATTTCAAGTTCATGTAGAATTACATCACGTATATTACAGGCGATCCCGGTTATTCCCAATTTGTATAAAGATAATGCGTATAATAAACAATTAATTTCTATATATATTAGTATTTTACATAATTCAATCCAATTCTGCTGCACAAGCGAAAATGGAACTTATTTAATTTCATGTGCCGGGCTCCGTAGATCAATAATTGCTTTTCTTTAATCGCTCCAATTGGATATTGCCGTTTATATTTATTTTGTTTTAGCTTGCTGTAATAGAAACGTATTAAAAATTCTGCATAGTTGATAAAATGTTGTTCATTTTCATATTTGGTTTTGCATTTGCATTGTACGCTGTTTTATTAAGTAAATTATTTAAATAAACAAAATTAAACAAATAATAGAGCAAAACGTAAATAAAGCCTTTCACATTAACTTGTGAAATAAATACTGTTTGTAAAATTCTCTTTTGGTATTATAAAARTCTTAACAAACGATTTAGTTGCAGATTTATGATTTGGCTTGAATAGTTATTTAAATCTTCGAACTTTGGTTTCATATGAAGTTCAGTTAGCTTTACTGTTAATTCTCAGTTTGTTTCATAATTGCTTGGGTTGCATAAACAAGACCAACAAATTCTGCTAAAGGCATCAAATTAATTCAAATTTTTTTTTTTTTTTTTAAGATTAATTTAGTATTTTAAGTACCTACAATAATATTATTGTTGTTTTTGTTTTAAATTATTATTTTGCCTCTTTGAGAATATTTTTGTCTTTTGTTTTTGAATGTATAATACTTTGTGAATATTCTTTACTTTTAATATGGCTTGGTTCCCAAGATATTTATATCTTATTTAGTGGCATTGGGGAAATAAAATATAAAAAAAAACATGTAAATGCCTTAGTTTATTTTTAAAATAGATTTTTTATGTTGTTCAGTCTTTTCTAATTTCATATATCACTTTTTGTTGTTTTCTTTATTATTTTAACTATTTTCTTCTTTTTAGCCTTTCATACAATTTGTTGTTTAATTTTTTCTTTTACTTGTCAAATTATAAATAAAATGTGTTTTCACATAACAAAAGTGTAAATAACATAAAAGTGCAATAACTAAAACAAAATTGATCAAAATATTTCAATCCTGTATTTTTGATATTACGTTTTTTTTTTTTTTATCACGATATTGTCACCTTTAAATAATCCTTTGATTTGCTTGCTTCACACTTCAAAAGCGTTTCAAAACGTTTATCGTTTAGTTTACTTTTTTGTTTGCTTGTTTTATAGTTTTCTCATTCCTGTAAAAAGAAAACTAAAGCTACGTGAATTCGATAGAAATGCGGCAAGGGCCGCAATTTAACGTGATAAAACTCAACATCTCTAAGTATTTAGATATACAAATTAGACCTGCAGACTGCAGAGAGACTTTAGCTGTAGGGTGGATCCATAGACCATGTAGAATTTATTTTGACACAAATAGACGGACATAGACCTGCCCCGCATATAAAAGGGCTTGTTATTATTTCGAATGCTTAAAAGTGATTCTGTTCGTTACATTTCGAGTATTGACTATTGAGAGTTGAGTTGTCACATAGTTCAAAGTTTTTATAATTATTAAAGGATGTTATCCTTTAAAAGGCTTTCAGCTTAACTTACCAAATATGTGTGTAATTGTTTTCTTTTCTTTTTTTTTTTTTAATTTTTATGAGTCTTTAAACTTTTCAGATTTGTCTCATATAAAAAATTTTGGTCTTTCTCTTTCTTAAATTCGTATGATTTTTTTTATCAATCATCAGTTTAAATATCTTAGACGAAGATTTGTGTTTATCTATATAAATATCTGTTTCGATGAACTTTTAATATCGTTTTAATACGAAAGATTCTTGTTCTTTTCTTCGGGTTAATTTGGGGTTCTCTTTGTTAATTGTTTTTATTATTATTTTTTTTTCTTTTTTCATTTTGTATTTAACGTCAATAAGCTTTTGGCTTAAGTTGGTCTTTAATTTTTGAGTACTTCATGCTTCTTGATAAAAAGCAGCTGCGTTTTTGTTTTTTTGTTTTTTTTTTTTTTTTATGAATTGGATTGTTGCACTTTTTGCATTGGCTTAATTAGTTGAATTTGTACTATAATTTTTGGTATAAACAAAACATTTTAAATAATAATATTTAAGTGTAAATAAAGTTTAATGCATTACACACATTTTGAAACATTATTTTATTGACTTTGATAAATTTTAAGATTTTGCTTTGTTTTACTAATAAATTGTTGTGTATTTCTTTGTTTTTTTCCTTTTTGTTTTGCTCAGCTTAATGAATAAGAATTACATTATTACGATTTTGTTGCTTAACTTGTTGCTATTAATAGGAAAAGAAATTATAGCTGTGTTCTTTTTCACGTCAATAGATTATAGAAACAAAAAATATTTGAAAAGTCTTAAATAAATGTTCAGATATTTCAGATAAAAAAAAAAAAATGTAGAAATAAACAAACGTTCCATTTGTAGAGATGTTTTGCATATTAGCAGTTTGCTTATTAACTAAAATTTATACATTGCAATTTTTGTATACAATATGACATGATTCACATAATTGATATTTTTTAGTTTAGGCTTTCATTCATCAAGATAGATAAATTGAATAAATTTAATGGTAATTGTAAAATAAAAAGAAATAAACATAATTCGTTTTTATAGGCCGGAGCTTTTTAATCGACGCAAGGCTCCTTTTGTCCACTAACAAACATTTAATAACAGGCAATATAATATTATCGCCAGTCACATGGATCGGGTATTGGTCAAGCAAAGACGAACAAACACAAAGGTTTTGGATAATTGGATAGGTTGCTGGGGCAGGGGAGGTGCAAATCAAGACGTAGCAACACGTTTCAACTTAAACGCTAGGAAAAGAGAACTTTATTCTTAATCTAATTGTGTGTGTTTGAGTGTAATGTGTGTATGTGTGTCTACGTGTAGGTATTAATTTATATAGCATTCAAATTTCTGCGTTAATCATCATATTATTATGCTCGAGCTGGCCCTAATCCCTTGTTTTGGTATTTGGCATACGTGTTGGAGCACGCGCAGCGTTCTTCACTAAAATGTATATCGCCATTCGAGGGATGCGGCAAACTGTTGTTGTTTAGTAATAGGCAGCTGCATTTGAATAGTTCTGCGAATATGCCTGCGAATCTATTGGTGGGGGGATGCCGACAAATTCGATGATCCAGATGTGTAATAGAAAATGACTAATTAACAATTACTTACCATAGCCAGCATAGGCGCGTTCATCATAGCTGGCGCTCTGCTGACTGTAGTCCGCTTGCCCGGCTGAATTGTAATCAACTGCTGTCGAGCCATACTGCTGGCTGTAGTCCTGGCTATATGACTGATAGCGCGTGTCCGGCTGGGCGGCATAGCCCGTGGAGCTGGAAGTAAACACGAATTCAATTAATAAAAACCCCAACTAACGTTTGTAATATTTGTAGCCAACTTACTTATAGCCTTGATATTGGCTTTGATCGTACTCGCTGCCGTGATGCGACGCATAGCTGCTGCTGGCCGTTGTATTTGCCTGGGTTGTGTGTGCTGCATAGCCGCTGCTCTGACCATAGCCATTATAACCTTGCTGAGAAGTTGCTGATGCGCCGTAGCCGCTCTGTGAGTATGGATCGACCTGTTGGGTCTGGTCGTGCGCCTGATAGCCACCATGATGGCTGCAGTGAACGTTGGCATTAATATTATGATCAATTTTAAATTCTTCTATTTATTTAAACTAATAATAAAATTGAATTGTTACTAGAGTTGAAAATGTATTGGTCTTACCTTGGGGCTGGAGCATGATGGCTGGGTGGGGAGCCATATGTTGTTTGTGACATATGCTGGGACGCCGCATGATACTTTGGTGCAATGGGGCGCTGGCTATAGGGTCCTCCCTCGTATCGTCCACGCTTGGGACCTGGTCCTCCGGGTGCGCCACGTTTGAGAGCTGGTACCGGTGCAATTTGTGTATTGACATTATGAGCCTGTTGGTGATGTTGCATGGGTGGCCGACTCATACCTTGATTGTAACCACCGCCACGTCCGCGCATCGAGCCACGACGCGGCATTCCTCCATGCTCGCCCCCCGGTCCGCCCATGGAGTTGTTATGATGTGAGTGCGGGTACATTCCATTACCGCCGCTGCCGTTCATGTGTGGGTTGTAACCGCCACCTCGTCCACGACCTCCGAACGGGCCACCACGTCCTCGTCCACGACCTACATATGGCGGTGGGCCTCCACCGTTGCTGTTGCTGCTACCAGGCGCACCGCTCGCTCCGTGCGTGTTCACCACTGCTGTGGCTGTTCCAGCTGATGCAGCTACTGCATCCGTGCCATCTTCAGCTGTAGTTTCGCCGGCTTGCTGCTCCCCAGCTGCCGTAGCTGTGGGTACCGGCGATACCGTCTTATTGTTGTCGGCACCCGTGTGCTGCTTAGGTGCTGTATGGAGTTGGTTATGTAGATGATATAAGCTACTATAGTTGTTTCGTTTGTACTTACGCTGCTGGTATAGGGGTGGGCGTCCACCTCGCATGCCCATAGGAGCACCGCGTGGTTGAAAGCCGCCGCCACCACCACGGCCCTGGTAGCCCAAACCGCCTCGAGGACGCATGCCGCGCGGCGGACCCTGCATCATACCCTGCATTGGGGGACCACCGCCGCCCATACCGCCACCACGCATGCCACCCATAAAGTGACCGCGACCCATGCCCCGACCACGTCCGCGCTCAAAACCACCGCGCATGGGAGGACCTCCACCGCGACCTCTGTAGCCACCGCCACGCGACCCACCTACAGGTGGAGCCGCAACTTGTGTAGCTCCTTCCATGCTTTAGTTGGGGTTATAGCAACAACAGTAGTAACTCTACTTTTAGTTATTTTACGCCGCCCGCTACACTGACACACATATACACRYACACACAACACTCGGACGCGCACAAACGTTAGCCGTTTTAGTTTGCAAGGGCTTTTCACCAATTAATGCAGAAACTATAATTTTTGTAATATATGCCGCTTGTCGGTTACTATTTCACCACTTTTATATGCTTGTAAATTATTTTTGCAGTTACCTAAACATAAAAACGCGTCCGAGTACAAGTGAAAAAATATGGCGGCGACTATTGATTTTTGTGTGTGTGTAATGCTAAAAATTATCGATAAGAGTGCCAACAACCTATATGTATATCGATTGTTGTATGTGGGATGTTTTTAGTACTGCAAATTATAGCGCTGATGATATTATACAGTACTGGCGCTGACATAAACAAACAACTTTTCCACGTATTAAGGATTTTGTAAGCTTTGTTTCTGTGTTTTAGAAATGTCGTCGTGGATAACAGGGTTGGCAGATAAAGCAGAAAATATTTTAAACAAAATCGACCAGAATGCTGCTACAGCCTTGCACACGGAAGCTGGTCCAGCGCTAGATGCTATGAAGAGCAGTCTCACCAGCAGCACACAATCTCTAAAAACAACACTATCTCCAATTAAGCGTCCCACCAGCAGCAGCAGTACACCCATGTCTTTGTCCATGGTCGGTAATAGCGCATCCAGCAGCAAAAGCGAAGGCTCCCAAGTGTTGACCACAGAGCTACGACAAAAGTTACCAACATCGGCCAGTTTTTCAGTCAATCCAGATGGCAACGGAATGGACACACATGAGTTGGCGGCTTTCAAGATAGCTCTTAATGAGATCACCAGTGAGCGCGATGAATTGCGCATGCGACTTGATGGGCTCAACCACGATAGCGAAAATCTTGGCCTGAAACAGCGAGTACAGGAGCTGGAACATCTAACACAAACATTATCCGAAGAGCGCGATAAAGCTGTTCAAGAGTTGAGCGAGGCGCAGACAGCTCAAATGGCTTACGTACACTCCATATCTGAATTAGAAACGAATCTCGCTAAGCTGCAGCAAGAGTATGTGAGCACAGCGCATAAGCTGCAAATGCAGACCAAAGAGACGGACCAACAGCGTCTCGAGCTACAAGAGTATCGAGCCAAAGCTCAGCGAGCATTACAGGGGAAAGATGCTCTTATCGCTGAGCTCAAACAAAATCCGATTACAGAAGGTTGTGAGCTGACTGCCAAGGATAGCGAAACTCGTTTCTTACAAATCGAACTTGACGCTCTGAAGCAGGAGTTGCAGCACGCTAGCGAGGAACAGCAACGACTGCGCTTGCAGCTTGACGAATATATGGCGTTGGAGCGTCAGCACGAATTAGAGCTCGGCGTGGCTCGTCAGCGTGAAAATGCGCTTAATAAGGAGCTTCGTACAGCTCGCGAGCACAGCTTGGCCATCGAATCAGAGCAACGGATGCTGACTCAAGAGCTGTCCTCACTGCGTCAACAGATGAGCAACCAAATGGCCGCCTCTGCAACTCGACTGCACGAAATGGAGAAACAATTGCAACAGCAGCGACAGCTCGTTAGCGAAGCTGGCTTCAGCAGTGTCAAGGTTGACTATGAGAATCGTTTAAAAGCCCTCACTCAATCGCTGGTGGAGCGTCAGAGCCTGCTGGAACGCGTGACAGTGGAGCGCAATGCTCTGCGTATGCAGCATGAGAATATGCAGGCGCAGCTGCAACAGCTGCATTCTGTTGAACTGGGTCATCAACGAGGCTCAAGTTCGCGCAATACGCTGCTTTCCAACAGCACAGATGATGGTAGGTGAAGAGACTTGCAGAATGAATTCAGTTTTTCTTATAATTATGAATTTTGATATTTGCCTCTCCTTTTAGTCAAGGCACAATTTCCACTGCTTATGCATCCGAGTCCCTTTGATAATCGCGTCGCTCGCCGCTTCAAACGCGCTCTGCGCCAGGCCGATTCCCTGGGAATACGCGTAGGCGCCTTTCTGCGTCGCTATCCAATGATGCGCATCTGCATAATAGTTTACGTTGCATTGCTGCATCTTTGGGTTATGTTTGTTCTGCTCTCCACGACTCCCAATNATATATAAGTTACATTAGTTGTTGGCTGACTTTTGTGTTGCCAAAATTAATTACACTTCGCTGTGTATACTGTATAATTGCTAAGAGCTATGCCTCATAGCTGAAAGCATCAAATTATCTATCGAAATGTAAATTCAATAAACATCTCGGCTATGTACAAACTACGGTCATGAAAATTGCAATTAGCTAATCTTTAAACATTAAGCAAACAAATAACAATACATGAAAAATTCATCCTACATCTTGAACGTCAAGTCACAGTTCAAATATTGCATGATTTCAATTTGATAGACGATACAGTAGTATGTACCACTACTACTACTATATGTATATTTAAGTAAACAGAGTCTCTGCATGGGATCCTGGCACTATTGACCCATACAACGCCGAGTTAGAGAGCCAAAATGTATTAAGAGTTGGCATCCAGAGTGAAGTAGAGRAAGAGGGAAAATCTCAGAGAGCAAAATCTGGGCTTCTTCAGTAGTAAAGACTTCTGGGACGACTCGCGAAGAATTGGCGCTATATGCCCCGCAATCGGTTGTATCAGTCGTCGGCAAAGTAGTTGACATATACCGCATCGCCACCAATGCTAATCAGACACTGTCCCTGCAATGCATAATAAAGGATTCATAGCCATACAAAGTCACATTAATGGGAATTCGTATATTACCTGATTCTTGTGCTGATTGTCGAACAATATGAGTTCGGTCAAATAGAATGAGACCATTGCATTGCCGCCCAGCGAAGCAATATGAGCTCGCACCACTGCCAGCAGTTCGGTAATGAAACTATGTACAAATCCGCTAATGCCGCCGTTTTCTCGTATCGAGGTGCTCTCCCTAATGAAGAAGAAGTTTAGATTTCCCAAATACTTGTCAATACGACCACCCGGTATGAAGCTAAGTGGTGTTAAGTCTACGCCATAACGATCGCGAAGTGGGGACTGTGCAGATAAAATCATTAGTTCATCGAATCCAAAATCAGAGAAGCTTTTAACTTACGTAGCGACTGCGTGGCGGTTGACCTATATTTATTAGTTTTGTTGCGGGTGAGGCGGTCGTTAGATTAGAGAGTCGCGATGGCGAAGTCTTTCGCACTTTGAAAGAACTCATGCCAAAGGGAGGAATGGCCGAGCTGGTTGGCGTGGGTGTATCAACCATTTGATCCTCGTCCAGTGGAAATATGTAATCCTCCTCTTGCAGCATCCGTTTACCATTCATCTCCGGCTGGGATTGAGTTTCGTGACCAGTCGGTGCTGCTTCACTCGACCCATTTGGTAATTGTGCAGCCGCCGGTGCCCGGCGACGGTATTTCATTTTATTGCCATCGCTCAAGCCCATGGCCATTCCGGTGACAAGTAATTGGATTTGGTCCTAAATGTGTGTGAATCGCAATTTATTAAGAATTTCAGAAAAATACTTGAATTGCATACCGTTTCAGGCAAATCCAGTCTGAAGCGTAGATCGCATATTGCACAGGGTATCATTGTGCGCAGCTTGAAATATATCGTCTGCAGAAGTCTGTGGGAAAAAGAAAATAAGTACAATAATAATTTGTGAATTTTAATGGAGAACTACGCTCGTCTATGAAATAATATACATTCAATTCAAGAGAGTATAAATTTGAAAATTAAATTGAAAATTTAATAGTTACATAGATAATAGATTCAGAGGCTTTTTATATGCTGAAATCATTTGATTTAAATTTAATTGTTATATCTATTTGATATATTAATTTTAAGGCTCGATGAGTTTCCAACTTACCGCTGAAAGTGCTTGGGGAAGCCATTGACGCTCTGTCCCACGTCGATGCGAGCTCGCCATACTTGCGTAAACATTTGAAGATTTTTAACGGCATCCAGTTCCTGCATGCCGGGCACCTGCTGTGTGTTAACCACATGGAAGCCCTCGGGTGGATATGGTTCCATGAGTAGTGAAATGATTTCCAGGTCCTCAATATCATCTACCTCAAGTACACAGAGCTCTTTGTTGCCGCAATTCAAATCGATTTCATTCATTTCCTCATCATCGGAATCATCCGTATCTGATTGCTTATCGCCGCCAGCTCCGCCACTGATGCTAGCCAAATCGGGATCCATATTCTTTAGCTGATAGATCTCTTGGTTGCGCTCAAATGTCTCCTGCAATTTCTTCTGGAGCTCGTTGAGTTTCTGCTTGTCCGTCCACGAGTTACCGGCCATAATCTTTGGCACCATCGGCACGGGCAATGCACTTAAAAATAATGCCGTGCCCGTGGCAATTAATGCTATCATGCGTTCGCCAATGGCCACCTGGGTGCGCAGTCCAAAAATGGCATTCATGCCTTTCGCCTTCAGCTTATTGATCAGCACACGGTGTAGCTCGTACTCCAGAAATGGCAATCCATCGGAAATCTCTTTCGCATTCAGTTCGGCGCGCAGATCCCTCTTGGCGCGCACCACCTGAGCCTGCATGAAACAGCCGCGTCCAGTCACCTGCATATATTCCGGCACTTCCAATGTGGCTAAAAGAACATCCGGCACTCGGCCTTTGCGGCATATAGCGCACTTCTTCATTTTGATATTGAAGGGTACGTTGCCCAAATTGTACGGCACGTGGCAGATGGCACAGGCGTTACGTTGGGCCCCTTGATTTGGAAAGCCGAAGCGTTTACCCGCCGAGCCGTTGGCTGTGCCCAGCGAGCTGCCGTCCTTGACAGAGGCTGCTGCTTCACCAGCGCTGCCATTTGCCTCTCGATCYTCCATCGAATTGGACATGGCGGCCACATTATTGGTTACCTTTGATATGGCGAAGATGTCCGTTTGCGAAATAGAGCGATTGAAGACCATGTTGATGACTGCAGCGGTGCCAGTGGCAGACAAAACGCACACATCGTCGCTGCAGAAACAAATATCCAAATTAGATAACGGTAAAGTTATTGTGATGCATTAAATTCTGTTGGCCTACGATATGCTTGTGGACTCCGCGTAGCCCAGCACGACGTTGCAGCCCAAAGAGCGGGCATGTGAGCGAATTTCCATGCGCAGCTCCGTCCACCAGCTGTCANTCGTCTATGAAATAATATACATTCAATTCAAGAGAGTATAAATTTGAAAATTAAATTGAAAATTTAATAGTTACATAGATAATAGATTCAGAGGCTTTTTATATGCTGAAATCATTTGATTTAAATTTAATTGTTATATCTATTTGATATATTAATTTTAAGGCTCGATGAGTTTCCAACTTACCGCTGAAAGTGCTTGGGGAAGCCATTGACGCTCTGTCCCACGTCGATGCGAGCTCGCCATACTTGCGTAAACATTTGAAGATTTTTAACGGCATCCAGTTCCTGCATGCCGGGCACCTGCTGTGTGTTAACCACATGGAAGCCCTCGGGTGGATATGGTTCCATGAGTAGTGAAATGATTTCCAGGTCCTCAATATCATCTACCTCAAGTACACAGAGCTCTTTGTTGCCGCAATTCAAATCGATTTCATTCATTTCCTCATCATCGGAATCATCCGTATCTGATTGCTTATCGCCGCCAGCTCCGCCACTGATGCTAGCCAAATCGGGATCCATATTCTTTAGCTGATAGATCTCTTGGTTGCGCTCAAATGTCTCCTGCAATTTCTTCTGGAGCTCGTTGAGTTTCTGCTTGTCCGTCCACGAGTTACCGGCCATAATCTTTGGCACCATCGGCACGGGCAATGCACTTAAAAATAATGCCGTGCCCGTGGCAATTAATGCTATCATGCGTTCGCCAATGGCCACCTGGGTGCGCAGTCCAAAAATGGCATTCATGCCTTTCGCCTTCAGCTTATTGATCAGCACACGGTGTAGCTCGTACTCCAGAAATGGCAATCCATCGGAAATCTCTTTCGCATTCAGTTCGGCGCGCAGATCCCTCTTGGCGCGCACCACCTGAGCCTGCATGAAACAGCCGCGTCCAGTCACCTGCATATATTCCGGCACTTCCAATGTGGCTAAAAGAACATCCGGCACTCGGCCTTTGCGGCATATAGCGCACTTCTTCATTTTGATATTGAAGGGTACGTTGCCCAAATTGTACGGCACGTGGCAGATGGCACAGGCGTTACGTTGGGCCCCTTGATTTGGAAAGCCGAAGCGTTTACCCGCCGAGCCGTTGGCTGTGCCCAGCGAGCTGCCGTCCTTGACAGAGGCTGCTGCTTCACCAGCGCTGCCATTTGCCTCTCGATCCTCCATCGAATTGGACATGGCGGCCACATTATTGGTTACCTTTGATATGGCGAAGATGTCCGTTTGCGAAATAGAGCGATTGAAGACCATGTTGATGACTGCAGCGGTGCCAGTGGCAGACAAAACGCACACATCGTCGCTGCAGAAACAAATATCCAAATTAGATAACGGTAAAGTTATTGTGATGCATTAAATTCTGTTGGCCTACGATATGCTTGTGGACTCCGCGTAGCCCAGCACGACGTTGCAGCCCAAAGAGCGGGCATGTGAGCGAATTTCCATGCGCAGCTCCGTCCACCAGCTGTCACGCACCTCCGGCTCATCGGGATTGGGCACGCGTTCCAGCAGCTTGACCGAGCGCGCTGCCACAGTGGCGCCCAGGTGCAGTATGAACCCAGTTGGGTACTTGGTCATAGTTAAGAACGGATACTCCAACATATCCAGACTGTCCGTTGTCTTGCTGCCCACGGTGGGTGTGTTCAATCGCATCATAGCCGTGGCCGCCGCCAGTCGCTCGCTAGCCACGCACACGGAGTTACCTGCCAATGGAAAATAACGTTAGAATCGGGTGCTATTTAACAGAACTTTAATGATAGGTCCACAGGTTTACAACGTTAAGGCAAGCGAAAACACAGTATGGAATAGATATGTGTGATCGAGAGGCGTTTTATAAAATTCCCATGGATTAAATAATTTCTGGCCTAATGAAAATAATAATTATGTATCGCAAATGCCAGTATTAAGTCTTTGGCGGAGGCTAAAATTAATTTTCGAATTTGCCTGAGGGGTTTGCCAGAAACATCGTTAATCAGATTATCAACCGATGACTGAAAGAGAATTTTTTAGCATCTTTAAACTAATTTATTATTATTTATATTTATTAGATAATTTTTTCGCCAATATGATTTTGCATAATGAAGATTCTAGCCAGAATCTTCACCTTCCACGGACTCAAAAAAAAAAAAAAAAATTTCTTATATTCTCAAATAAAGATTATAATTTTGTGTCTTCTTTAATCGAATTTTACTCTCAAATATGTTTCATAATCTTCTTTATATAGACTTTTAAATAATGTCAATTGATTTAGATGATGGATGAAATGGATCCGATGAGAAGTCATAATATTTTTTTGCCATTTTTAATTTTAGGTATAGATACACATGTATGTTTATAGGCAAGATGATGATAGATATATATTTTTAATATTATAATTATTWGGATATAAGAGGCAAATACATAGTGAGAGAATAATTACAATTACATAGTTTTGCAGACAGCTCAGACGAGGAGACTAGAGAGGTGTTAAAAGATATATGTATGTATAGAAGAGAGCTTAGATATCAGCTGCAACGATTTACCTGCCCACCAATTGACCCACACACATACACTTACATACTCACACACACACACTTTAACACAAAGAGGGTTTACATTGACATTAACACACAATTACATCGATAATGGACATTGAAACTTATAAATAAACAGACAGAGAGAAAGAGAGAGAGTGAGAGTGAGAGAGAACGAGAGACAACTACTTACGCTTACGATGCAATGCATAGGCTATGCCTGTATGGTGTTTGATGCAGCAGCGGGCGCAAAGAGAGAACATTAGAAGAGTTTGTGAGTAACTCATGAGAGACACGAGACACACAGACACATACACACAGTCACAAGGTTTCGTTCGGCTCAGTGGAAACACKCGTAGTTTATTCATGGCGAAGTATTTATACCCCTACTTAGCCTATGCYTAWTTCYTATGGTACATATGTATTATCAAATGGAAGCTAGGGAGCTACATACCTTTGGGCGTGACACTCAGATCGGAGTCGGACGAACGACGACAGATTTCACTCACTTCCTTGACCTGCACCATCGTTGTGGCCGTCGAAGTGGTCGATGTGGATGCACTGTCCGCATTCGTGCCACCCGAAATGCCGCTCTTGGAGGGACTGGGCGTTAGCTTTATCCGATTGCTGGTAACCGGCGATGCCAGCTTTTTACCGTTCGCACTATTCTCGATCGACGCAATTGTCGTGGGTATGAGCACGCCCTGTGGGATCGACTGTTGTTGTTGTTGTTGCTGCTGTGGTTGCTGTTGCTGCTGCTGCTGTTGCTGCTGTTGCTGAAGCTCGCTGCTGGACCTAGTTGAGCGTTGTTGTTGGTTTGGTATGGCAAATGGCGAAACAGAATAGCATGGAGCAAGCAATGATGATTCATTATTGTTGTTACTATGGTTAGTACTATTAGAGATATTTACAACATGGTCTAGTTCGAAATCGGGTGGATCATAATAATCAAAGGCACGCGACTGCTGTGAGCTATTTTCGGATTCTGTTGGGGTTGGGGTCGATGGGCAAATGCAGAGAACGGGCGCAACGGGCAGCAACGTGTTCGGATATTCCTGAATTACTTCCTGGGCTACTAGAGGTACTGATGGTACTGACGGTACCACTGACACTGGCRGTGTCGTTGGTGGTGCACGGGAATCAMACTTTACTAATGGTGCATCATCTACAGATCTAATGCTTGCGAAGTGCGAAAGCGAAGCACAGCGTTGCAAATTGGATTCATAGCTGGGCAAGTGATTCAGTTGCAGCATGGATGCGAAAGCACTCAGATCTGCACAGGGCCAATCGAGTGCGCTGCTTGTGGGCAACTCCGGCTGTGAGCTATAATACGATTTGCGGTCCATAGACGGCTCGAGTGCAGCAGCGGCCAGTAGCAGGGAACGTTTTCGTTGCACTGGCTGCTTGGGTGACAGATGCATCAGTTGTTGGAGACGACGCGAGAAACCCTTCAGGTCCTCGAGCAGCGTGTGTCGCTTGGGCGTCAAATCGAGCTGGCTGTTCTCACAGCTGCGCGTCTCGCCCGGCTTTATCCAGTTATCCTGCAGTTCTTCATCATCTTTGAAGGCTTGCAGCTGTTTCAGCTCTTCGTCACTTGAGTCGCCTTCTGCTGCTGCTGCTGCACTGTCAATGCCTGGGGCAAGTATTTCAATTATAGACAACGAGTCCGATGAGTCCGTGGAGCACGTGGACTTACGTTGAAAGGCATCCATCTCCAGATCCGGCGCCGAACGTGTACTCTCCTGGTACACGGGCAGACGTGGAACTGCCAGCTGACACATTGATGGCCCAGCGCCCGTATCATCGCTAATCGAGCGTGTTATGGCCTGCGGTGCTCGCTTGCCTATTGCATAGCGCGACTTACGGCGACGCTTTGTGCTTGACCCGACTGCGCCGAAAAGATTGCTTAGGGATTGCGTGGCATTCTCCGGTATCTTGGGCTCGATGCGCCGCAAAAGCGTTGCGTACTTCTCGCTGAACACGTTGCGCGAGGACAACGTCATACGGTGCATGCGATGTCGCAACCTCTTCTCACGTGTTCTCTCGCCACGCTCATCCTCTTGCCTCAAGAGATTTTGCATAACATCCGCATCCTCCGTATCGCTACTGCCGCTTTCCAAGTAGAACAACGTTGCTGCCGCTGCTGCTGCTGCCGCCGCCGAACTGGGCGAACTAAAACTGGGCTGCTTATATATATTAAGACGATATTGAGGTGATCTGCCGGACAGTGGGAGGCTAGCGCTGCTGCCACTGGTGCAGTTGAGAAAATCTAAATATTTTTGGACTCTATATGGGGTTGAAGGGGCGATTAGCGTCGGTTGGGTGAGTGTTGTAGTTTGTTTTGGTTTGGTTTGTTTGATTGATGTTATAGATACGACACGAAAACAACAACGATTGAGCATGTGCAATACAACAACGAAAAAACGACAAGGAGCACAGTACAGATTTAATTATTGAAAACAAAAATGAGCGTTAAACGACGATTTCATTCGTGATCGTTTGATAGAGGGGAAAAACATTCAAAAGAAGAGAATAGAACATTTTAGAACATAATTTGAGCTTTAGCCACGAGGACCTACAAGCAGACCTACTGGTTGGGAATAAACTTATATTGCTTGGGGCATATAATATAATATTTTCTATATCATGGAATTGTCTTATGTATCAAATTGGTAATTAAGCACTGTCGCAATAGATATATTAAAATTAATTCAATTTTATAATAGGTAATCATATAACATTTAAACATTTAGGAATTTAAATATTGCATTTTGAAAGAGGTTTCTCCTATAAAATTTGAACAACATATTCTCTCGGCTTGTTTTTAGAATTGGAATAAAATACAAATAGTTTGCACATTATTTTGGATTCGAACCATTTTTCTAAGACATATCCATGATAAATGTATATATTCCAATATTTGATTTCATTTGATTTTCTGATCAATACTCACTCTTCGATGAGGGCTATATCTGCACTGTTGGGCTGACTGGTGCTGGTGTCCTTGATTAGGGTGACAGCTGTGCCGACGCCACGGGCCACAACTCCCACATCACCTTCTAGATCAAAGCACTGCGTATAGCCGATGACTGCATTGGCGCCCATGTTGATGGCCTTCAGGCCCATTTTGCGCTGCACCTGGCCAGAGAGCTTGAGGAAGACAACCTGTCGTGCCTCGTTGGAAGCGCGTGGTGTGCGGATCTTGTCGATCCATTGATACTCTGGATCATCATTTACCACCAGTTCCTCGACAAAACCATGGATGACTTGAGCACGATAACCAAAGGGAACACATTGTGCTGAAATTGGGTGAAAGGGGCTATTAGATTTGCTTTACACATGAATTTGCTACGCACAATGAAAGAAGGGAATACCACAAGAGCTCTGACGAAACTTGTTGACATCGGAGAACAGATCCACTTTCACAATTATGTTTATTTCACCGCGTATGCCGTGCATAGTATCGAAGACAGGTATCCAGCCAGAGAGCACGATGCCTTTGCCATGGGATGACTGACTAGAGCTCTCCAGACAAAGTGGATTGAGACTTATGTTCACCTTGCCGATGGCATCATTTGCTGAGTATGTGTCATAGTCCATTAGCCGAATTTGCAGCGGTTCRTCCTGCAGCTCTGCGTCGTCAACTTCAAAGCGAAACCTGCACAGTAACCAAATATGATAAATGATGCCGGGTAAAGAGCGGGTGGGGTGGGCACATACCAATCGGTATTCCATGTGGGATTCAAACTTTTCCGGAACACCTCCGTTTTGTGCTCTTTGTTAGCCAGCTTGATTTCCACAAAGGCATCCGTTGTCTCGCTGCTCTTGTCCATCACTGGCAGATTACGCGCAGCTTTTATTTTGACGCCCACCTTTCCTGGCATTTTGGTGCCTGCTGACGCCACTCGCTAACTTCGTAAACTGCCCCGAACAATCACCGCACAACGTACACACCGTCCTAATGGAATAACTGTCTATCCAAAACGCCAATTTGCACGTTGTTTCTATAATTTCAGCCAATGTTTTTCATATTTTCTAGTGATGTAAGTGGACACTTGAGCAATCGGTCTATCGATAGTATTTTTTGCTACTAATCCTTATCGAATTCAAATTTTGATAGACTGCTCTAAATAGGGGTATTCTATTTGATATCTCTTTCTAGAAATATAATGTAATAAAAATATGTGTGTTATCTCATTAATTTATTTTAATGTTAGTTGTAAATACTTTCAATATAATTTGAATTGTTTTATCTTCAAAAATATTATATTATTGGACTGCTTACATATACAAGTTAAGATTAATGTCTGATGGTAGTGATAGTGTATTGGTAATCAATTCACTTTGTTTGTAGTCTATACAATCTTTGTACTTAATGATTAGGCATACATATGAACTATTTTCCAATGCAAAAGTCTTTGAAGATAACATCGAGTATGTCTTCGCAGCTGACATGTCCAGTGATGCGTTCGATACAGCGCACCGATTTACGCAGCTGCTGCGCTGCTATGGCCATGTCCGGGTAGACATCGGGCTTGTAATCTCTGAGGAATATCTCGATGTGTTCTATGCAGCGCTCCAGTTGCTGTCGATAGCGGCTATGCGTGATGCGTGGATGTTCCGCCTGCGGTGTTCCACATAGTTGTTGCAGCAGCTGCTSTAAGGAGCCCAGAAACTCCGGCAAGTTGTCYTGCTTGTGGCAAGATATGCACAGCACATCCTTTAGTTTCCTGAGATGATCAATCTCTTCCGCTGACAGCGTATCCGTTTTGTTTGCTACCAGCTGCAAGCGCTTACCCCTGCATAGCTCCTTGGGTATGTCCAGCTCCTGCAAATAGCTGTCGATACGGCCATTTAGGGATTCATTGCTGTCAACATCTCGCAGAGCTTTCGCATCCGTCAGCAGCAATATAAGGTCAGACTGGGCTAGACATTGCCTTGCTCGGGCCATGCCCTCCATCTCGATTGCGTCCGTTGTGTGCTTACGAAGTCCTGCCGTATCCGCAAAGACCACGGGATAGCCGCCAAAGCTGTGCGTTGTCTCTATTATATCTCGTGTGGTGCCCGCCTGATCGGTCACAATGGACACTGCTCGCTGGCAGAGCAGATTTAACAGGCTGCTCTTGCCTACATTTGGAGCTCCGATAATGACAGTGCGTACACCGTCTCGCAGCAGCTCGCCCTGCCGCTGGTCATTCAGATGAGCGCGTATCTCGCGTTGCACGGCTTTTAGTTCCTTGGTCAACTTCAACACTACGCCGCCTTCTATTTGCTCATCCTCGGCGAAGTCAATGTACGCCTCCAAATGTGCGGCACAGCGAATAAGACGCTTGCGCCAGTTRTCATAGAGGCGGCCCAGGGTGCCGGTGCTTTGTAGCAAAGCCTAAAAAGAGTAGTTTTTAATAAAAATTGCATACCATTTACAGTATATTCATTTGTTTACCTGTTTGCGCTGTGCTTCAGTTTCAGCGTGTATCAAATCGGATAGGCCCTCCACTTCGGTCAAGTCCAGCTTGCCTCCGAAAAATGCCCGCTTTGTAAATTCACCCGGCTGTGCGGGCCGTAGACCCGGTAATTGGCCCAGGGCATCGAGCATAGCCGCAATGACGGCCAGCGAGCCGTGCACTTGAAACTCACAAGCATCTTCGCCCGTGAAGGAGGCTGGACCGGGAAACCACAATAGCAGACCCCTGTCGATGATCTCTTTGCTGGTGGGATGATAAAATGATTTCAGATATGCCTGCCGCTGCTTCGGCTCGTATTCGCTGTTGTTCACAATAGCGCGAAGCGCCTGCTTTGTTTGTGGCCCGGACACACGGATGACGGASACGCCGCACTTGACGTGCCCCGAACTGAGGCTGTAAATGGTGCAGCCACTCGAGCTGGCAAAGCGCCGGAATACAGCCGAAAAGCCATTCGAAACGCTCCTCAACAGCGCCATGCCAGGCAAATACCAGCGAACGAATAAACAAAGCTGAAGACAAAGCCAGATGATTTTTGCAAACAGTACTTTTGCGGCATCGAGTACGAGTACATTTACAGCCCAGCTGTGCGTAGAGTTGCCAGATGTATTGCAGTTTACTCCGAAAGCTGGTCGTTCTTCATGAGCGACTTGACCAGGAGAATGCAAAAAGCATCCATTTTGATTATTAAAAATCCAACAAGTAGACAAGAGGCAGATTGAGTTTTCAAATAAAATATCGATTAATTTAGGTTAGAGCTGTCATGTACATTGCATTTTATTCAAATTCATTTAGTTTCCGAATTAATGGATTTTATTAAATTCACTTTGATTTTTTTGCTGCTTCTTCGTCTTCTTCTGTTGGCATTTCTCTCTTCTCCTTTGGCTTGCGAATTTCCGGTTTTCGATGTTTAAATCTGTTAACTTTTGTAATTTTATCTTTTGGTTTTTTTGGTTTGCGCTTCAAGCCACGCCAGTAATCGAAATCCCTTGGTCCTTTAATCGGTAGCCTAGGCAGCCTAGGTCCTTTACGAAGCATGCCGTCCTTGCGGGTGGCCAGGCAGCGTATAGACATAACTAGAATTTGTTTGGTAATTACTCCCAGCATCGTTGTTTTTATTTAGCGAAAACCCGACAACTTCCTCATGTATTAATCTTAATTTTGCATACACAACGGTTTTACAAATTTAGAATATGACAAATAGTGATACATAAATATATAATTTTAAAAATAATTTTTTAGATGCCTGCTTTGTTTATATATAATTTCATTCATGTGATCTACCAAAATAATCAAATCAAAATGCGATGTCGGTTAGGAGTTCATTCCAACACTTATATAAACATGTATATTGTTGACACTGAACACTGAAAATTGGCTTCTATCACCAATCACGTATAACTTTATTTATTTGTATAGATGACACACTATTCAATTTAATGATTATACTCTATTATAAAAAAAACGATTCAAAACGTTCTCAAGAAAATGGTTCAAAATTAGAAGAAGAACATTTTCTTTCTGGGCAGTTTAGTTTTGACGGGTTTGGCCAAAATTGGGCGACTTAAAGTCGTCGCTGTGGCAAATCTAGTACGATTGGCCATATCATTGTTGTTCTCCCATTGCTTAATGAAGTCCTCGGCTTCAGCATCCCAGGGCTTTGCTGTGTCTGGACGATTACCAGACTCACGACGAGGGGATTGGATTTCCTCCGGCGATTGCACTGATTTGCGTGTCTTGGGCTTGACATCTTCTGGGAAGTCGGCCCAGGTACAGTCGTAGGTGCGTTCCATCAATCCGCAATGCTTATAATGTGAATGGTCCATACGCAAGCTCTCTGGCATGTTTTGTTTCTGGCTCTTGTTCTGCTCCCACATGGAAAGACGTTTACTAGCTTCATAATTCTCTGCTTTCTGACGTTCCCGAAAAATTGCCTTGGCGTCCATCTTTCGGGGTCTGATACGATTAACCGGTACACGTTTGGCAATGTGTCGGGTCTGGGCATGGGCTATTTTTGCATTGAGCAGCTCAATGCACCGGTTTACCATTATTTTTGTACCGTTATTAAAGTTCACCATTCTGTTGATTATCTCAGGCTAATRCCAATGAATTAATTTATTTTGGATTTATTTATTTTTTATTACGCCGTGCGAAAATGCCGAAAATCTTACTGTCTATAAAGCAACTATAAATGTAACTGATCCCAAAACGAATCTGAGAATTTATCGACTACCAAAACAAATTCCATGGCATGGATAACTTGATACTGTCATATTTGTACCTCATAGCTTACTAATACAAAAACTTGTAACCTGGTGTCTGGCACCTGTCTGCCCAGCCAAGACAATTAGCGCACCTGTGACAGCTCGCAATTGGAGATGGCACCATGTTGAGCTATCTTTTGATAAGAATTATGTGAAGTACTAGTATTTATAGTATAGAATAATTTTATATCTTTATGTAATATGTTTTGTTATTTTTATTTTTAATATTACCATTATTATTATTATTATTTATCATTACTCATTTGT